ATTATAAACTGTAAATATATTTTATATAAATAACTTTTTTACAAAATAGTATGCAAATTTCTTTCAAAAAACTTATGTTCCTTTGTTCCTTGTTTCTTGTCTTAAACCTTAGCTCCAGGGTACCTTTCCATAATCATACCTACACCCTATAATGTATATAACATATTTGTTAAAATACAAATACAAAAAGAAATATGGAAATGGTTCATTAACAGCAATTAAATTATCTTTTTTAATTCTTTTACCTGTCCTCCAGCTGCACAAGCTGCAATTAGTCCAAACTTTTGATCTTCTCTAATAAGTCGATTAGCGGTATGTGTAGCTAATCGAACTCCAGTTGCTGCGAACGGATGACCAATTGATAAAGATCCACCCCATGCATTCCACTTATCAATATCTGGTATTCCTACTTTTGAAGATCTACCCAAATAATTTTGTGCAAACAAATCAGAATCTAAAGCTTTTAAATTAGCTAAAATTTGCCCTGCAAAAGCTTCATGTATTTCCCACACACCAATGTCTTTTACATTCAATTTTGCTTTTTGTAACACCTGCAATTTATTTGGAAGATATTGAGAGTTAAAATTTTAAATATATAAAAAACAAAAAATTTAATAACCTGTGGTACAGCATAGGATGGTCCTAAAAGTAACTGATCAACAGGGTCCTGGGAAACATAAGTGAAATTTCTTAAATACGCTTTTGGAGTTAAACCAAGTTGAAGAGCTTTTTCTTCTGTCATTATCAAAGCTGCTGATGCTCCATCAGTTAAAAAAGAAGCATTAGCAGCAGTAACTCCTCCATATGGTTTAACAAATGCTGGCTTCAATTTTTGTAATTGCTCTGGTGTTGCAACACGAATTCCATTGTCTTTATTCACTACTTCACTTACATTTGGAACTAAAATAAGTACTAAGATTAATCATCTTGTTTCTTTTCTCTGATTTTATATTTAATTACCTTTATAAGGAATGATATCTGTGAGATATCCTTGCTGTTGTGCTTTAGCAGCTAAAGTATGTGAACGTAAAGCATATTCATCCTGTTCTTTTCTTGATATTCCAAATGCAGCTGCTAACCTATCACCACTATGTCCCATTGTTTCATTGCTAGAAAATTCAGCTACTGCAGGCAACTGTAATTACAGAAATATAATAAATAAATACATTTAGAATATAATTCTGTAAAAGAAGGTAACATACGTCTGGTACAAAATGTGTTGGTCTAATGGTAGCAAGAAGAGCTAATTTTTGTCCAACTGTTTTTGCTTTATTAGCTTGCAACATCAATGAACGCATGCGTCTATTATGTCTAATTGGTATATCTGACATGAATTCCACTCCACCTGCAATGACTACATCATACACACCACAAGCAATCAAGCCCATACCAGTTGTAAGAGCTTGGTTACTACTGATGCATGCCATAGTTACTGTATGTGCAGGAGTACGATCATTGTATCCTGCTGCTAAAGCTGCTTCTCTAGCAATATTTGAGGTTCTTACTTCTTGCAGTACTGTACCATAAACAATGTACTCAACAATTTCTTTAGGAAATTTAATTTTTCTTTGCAAGGCCCTTATAAT